ATAAGAGCTAAAGGAAACAGAATTGCTCATGACTTATACCCAACTCATAAGATCATTCCTCATGGCCGCCCGTAGCTACGTGCGATCGGCACTAGCGACGGCTTTGGCCAATTCACCGGCAATCCTCGACTTTACTCAGCAAGTTGATCATTTTAAACATCAATTAGCCTAAACTGAACATTTTAGGCATTAATAGCTCAAAAGTTGCCGGGAAAAATTAAGAGTTCTTTGGTCATGAACTTACTTAGGTACAATCGAACTTAGGTACGGTTTTAAGCATGCTTTACTCGAATTTCCCAAACAATTCACTCTTAATTCAACTTACTAACATGATCATGAGTTGGGGAGGGATTTACCTCGCTGATAGTTCGATCAACACCGGAAATTCGGCCGCTCCTCCTCCTCGCGTGCACTCCGAGCAATAACCTTAAGTTGCCGTGCGATTGTATTGGAATTTACTTGAACTTATTTGCTGTTGGAAGGGAAGATATATATGCTGAAGATAGAGTCTGATCTTAAGGGAAAAATGGAGCAAAATTTGCCTAAGTATGGGTTTATATAGATGGCCGAGAAGCTTGGGAGATGAGGTAGCCCATACGTGGCCCTCTCCCCATCTTTCCACTTGCTTAATTCTCCTTCATTCTCTTGATGACTAAGTAGCTTCTTAGCTTGACAAGTGAACTAATATGATTGGACAAAAACCTTTCCTATGGCATAAGAACTCACGGCCCTAATTTGGAAAAATTGGGAAAATTTTCCCCTTAATGCCACGGCTTAATGCTAATGATGGTGATTAATATTAATTAATCACTTATCTTATGTTTAATTATTCAATTAAACATAATACTTAATTACCAAAATTATTTCGGACGTAAACGGTACGTCGAAAATAGATTTCGGTAATTCCGACTGAACTTAATTAATTCCGAAAATAATAACCTATAAACATTATTATATTGGAATTAAACGTAATTTATACTGATAATATCTCGGGATATTACAATCCTCCCTCCTTAAAAAATTTCCGTCCTCGGAAATTCAAAACATAGCTGAATACATGAACTATGTACATAAAATAAGGAAATATGTACATCAAAACCTGAAATCTGGAAAACGAGCGCGAATGTCCGACTCTTCCTCCCAGGTAGCTCCGTGG